ACCCCTGCCTAACTGGGGTCATTAAAATTAGCCTCAAAAATATGCATGTGATGTTTTTGAATTCTGCTTCTGTTAGTGGATTAGGCTTTGCTCCCATAACACAATTTAAGGGTGGGAGTTCATCCCAGGGGAATTTAACTGTCTGAGACGAATGTCTGTAGCCTTAGATACTTGTTTATGCTCCCAGAGCTGGCAGCAGAGAGACAGGCTCCTCCACAGAGGATGTATTAAAAGAGAGGTCTAAATCTGACGAGATGAAAGACTTTCTAGTCATGTCTGTTTCTCTCTATCAGTGAGAGGGAGACTGGATGAATTTCTTAGACTAGAAAACTGTCTAGTCTAGTGTTTGGAAAGCTGAAGCTAGGTGGAAAGGCTCCCATCACACATCTCCAGAGATGTGGGGTCTGCAAGGCCAGGGCTCTGCCTGCTCTGTTATTATGAGTGGAGCTTGTATTTTCTAGAAATGGAATAATTTGAACAATTTCACAGGCAATGTAATAAGCTAAACTGTTCAGGTGGTACGTTACGTGAAAGGGGCAAATGCATAGGTTGGAAAATGTGTCTTTGGTTCCTAGCTACAGGTTAGCCTTCCTTTGCTGCCCCAGGGATTGATTGGCTTTTTGTTTCCACCTGCTTTGGGAAGACTTCTACTAAAGCCATGAAGCTTCTCTTTCTCAAAAAATATGTATTCCTAGTGGGCATCAGCCAAATTTGGTAAGAGTGGTGTTCTCTAAGTAGTTAGCAATTGTTTCTTTCAAACTTTGATTTATCCTGATACGGTGCTTTTGTTTCTCACTCACCTGCAGAGCCTGGAGTTTGCACTGTGTTTGGAGACCCTCACTACAACACTTTTGATGGACGGACATTTAACTTTCAGGGAACATGTCAGTACGTTTTGACGAAAGACTGCTCCTCCTCTGCCTCGCCCTTCCAGGTGCTGGTAAAAAACGATGCCCGTCGGACCCGTTCTTTCTCCTGGACAAAGTCAGTGGACCTTGTGTTGGGCAGAAGCACTATCAGCCTCCAGCAGCACCTCACAGTGAAGTGGAATGGGACCCGCATCTCACTACCTTGCGAGACACCGCAATTTCAGATCGATTTGGATGGTTATTTGCTGAAAGTGACAACCAAAGCAGGTAGGACAACTGTGTGTGTGTCTTCTCCTTGAACAAATTCTCAAGTGCCACATGAACTGCACTCAGGAAAAAAAAAGCATGATAGCAGTAATAAATGTAGTTATAAATCTTTAGAGATCTGAGGAACCCAAAGGGCTTTCAAAATTCCCTGCAGCCCACAAGCAGACAGAGATCCCAGCTATGAGTCTGAAGTCTTTGCAGAACATTTGCTAAGCTATGTTTCATTCTGCAGCTGACAATTTATTTCCTGCATAGAAGAATGTGCCATGATTTTCCCTTCCAGTAACTTATGCAGGGTGATAATCTGATACTTATAGATAAGAACAGAGAGGACATAAGTTCTTAAACATAACTTTCAGGTTTTTTCCCAGGTGCAGCAACATACCTTACAGTCTAGGTCAGCAATTATAAATATATATATATATATATATATTTACTAATGGGTGTAATGCATTTAAGTTGTCAAATTATGGAAACATTTCACTGGGACTACCCAGTAAAATAGAGGTCATGGTTTGAAAACCTAGGCCTAAGTTGCTGTTCAGTGTTGTCTTGCTGGTCTTGTTTTGTGATCGAGTAAGAGCTTGTCTGTGATGAACAGAGAGTTCACAGCACCAGAAGCAAAGGGAAATCAGAAACTTTAGAGAATCTGGTACCTTATTTACAGAAACAAGGAGGGGAGATAGCAGAGCCTCAGATCTTCTGAGCCCTAGAAAATACATTGATTGTCAAAATGCTAAACCAGAGGACTTACATTTGTTTTGATAAACTGTTCTGAAACTATGGTGTGCTTGCACAGATAAATACCGAGGGGTAGTTTAAAACCTTCTTATTAGCATGTGTGAGGTACTACTGTAGTCCTGAGAGATTTCACTTGCACAGTGAAGTACTGTTTCAGTCAGAATGCTATTTACTGTTAATTCAATTAAATGCTATGTGAAAGCAGTGAAACCAATCTTTCTTATGGAGTGATAGGGTCACAGGTGTGATGCATAGTCATACTCATTATCTAGCCATTTTTTTTTTCAAGTGGGACAGTAGTATACACTGTTGAGCTGAGAATTTAGACACCTGTTCATATAGCCCCTGGAAATGTAAGTCTGCATAATGTGGATCCCAGCTCTGGGCTTATTCGTCAAAGTGGCAATGCAGATTTTTGTGGCTCTCTGTAAAATGCACACAAGTTGACCATTATTCACAACTTCTAATTAAAAGCATCTTGAGGGTTTCTCTTTGCAGCCAGCTGAATGCTATGAATACTGGCGATGTGGATTTCATTAGCCAACCACAGCCCAAGGAAAGGTTTTCAATCGAAGATGAATGACAGCTAATCCTGTTGCTATTCCATTTGTCTCTGGTGCAGGCCTAATAAATGACTGCATACATCCTTGTCCATGTGTTGGCAGAGGGAGTGCAAACATGGCATATGACAACATACCAAACAGTGTGTAATCACTGCAAATTATAGCCTAAATAATTCCTCCCCTTAACGGAGCAGGATCAGGTTTCTCTCGCTGAACGCAGCACAATGGGCCAAGTCCTCCTCTCCTCAGCACGTAAGGCCTGGAAAGCAGCAGAACTGCATGGCTCCATTTTGCTGGGAGAGGACAAGACCAGAGAGGCTGTAGAGAGGAGGAATGTGCTGAGTAGAACTGGTTTAAAGACAAATTTTTTTGTTCCACAGGAAATTCCGAGTGCCGAGGGGAAAAACCTGGAAAATTTTCTCTGTTTCAGAATGCAGTATGGATTTTTCAAAAAAATATATGCTTTCCCAGTGTAGGGTGAAAAAGGAGGGGGAGGAAGTAATGAAATATAATCAAACCCACTGTACTAGAAGCAAAATTCAAAGTAAAACTGGGCTGGGAAGTGCAGGATCTGGTGCTTACAGCACAGCCAGCATTCCCACGGCTTTTGGTTTTCCTTTTGCAGAGCTGGGAGCTGAGCCCTGGATAAAACAGGGGAGCCCACAGCTTCAGGAAGCCTTGTGGCTGCTGGCTACAGAGCAATCTGCATGGCAGGGCTGTCCTGGAGTTGTATACCCTGAGAGTCCAGGTTTCCAGGCAGCCCACCAGGCGAGCTGGCAGGAAACCACCTTGGAACCTTGCCTGTGCTGTGTTGGAACTTCATTGAATCCGATATGTCTCCCCGAAGCATTTCAGTTCTGATGAATTGGCATTTTCCAGAGAAAACCTGTTTTGTGGCTAAGTTCCTCACCAGCTGTAGTCCTGGATGCCATGCAGCAGAAATTCTGGCACCCTGCACTTGCAGGTACTTTGTCATGGATGTGGTTGGGATGTCGTTGAGTCCCTTGTCTAAAATTCATGTATAAAAAGACAAGAAGAGAGGGGTCACAGGTCACAGGACTGATGTTACTTATCTGTCCCTTTAGTGCAGGACCTTTTTTGTTGTTGTTGTTTCTGTGCTGATCTTTTGCATGAAGCCACTTTGCTGAGGTTTTCTTTGCCACTTTGGCACTTAATCTTTGGGGAAGAGTGGTCTGCCAGTTTTCTAGGATGCCTTTACCATGAAAAATCATGCAGAACAATTGATGAGGGTTCCCAGCATGGGGAACTTGATGTGCGATGTGCATAAATCCAGAAGGATATTTTTTTAAATGCAGTAGAGAACATAGTGTGCCAAGTTAAGAAATCAAGTAATAAGTTGGTTAAGCATCCTTCAAAGAAGGGGGGAAAATGGAAAACTCTAAGAAGTAACTCAGAGAATATTCCTTTTCTGCACATCCCCAGATGGGACAGATGCTGCATCCTTTGGCTTCACATCTCTTGGGTTGTGATCCTTTTCCAAGTGAATGGGAAACTCATCCACTTTGAGAGGGGAAGGAAGGGGAGTATAGGCATCAAGAAACCCTTCCAAAGAATTTCTGTCTGCCAAGGAGACCATTTCAAACATCGCTCCATAGCATAATCCCTTCTGTCACAGCTCTTGTTGGTTTACAGAAACCAATTGAATTTTCTGCTTATGAACAAACAAAAGGGCATACACTGTACAGTGTGGTCAGGCTTTGACAAAATTATCATGCATGTAGGAATAAATACCCTTCCTTGTTACCCCCAAAGGGAATAAGCTCTGTATGGACATAAACCTTCAAGCTATTAATCAAAATTAGAAATTACGCCTCCATCTGAGCAACTACAGGAGAATATTGTACGATTAAACAATACCCAGCTAGAGGAAAGTACATCCTTTTGTGGTAGTTAAACTGTGAGTCTCTTGAATCAAATCCAGTAATCGAAGCAGGAATCTCTAGATTTTAAAATATATAAAATATATACTGAGATTAAAAGTCATAATTTGATATTATTTTTGTCTGTGTACGTAATGTTCACAGAGAATCATGTAACAAGGAGACTAATGTAACTCTCACAAGTGGCACACAAATATTCAGGATAATTTTAGAGTTAACCTTTCTTTATGACTGTGAGTAGTTTCAGTGAAAATCAGAAAGTCTTGAGAAAAAAAGTTGTAAAAAGACAATTAAGATAGGATGATTAGCCAGTCTTTTGTGACTCTGCTTAAGCCAGTAGCTTGTGACAGAGCTCATTTGGGGAAGAAGCTGAGCACTGCCTTAAAAACGGCAATTTTTTTCTGAAGAGAGTTGTCTGAGAATTTGGATCTTGATGCTTCAAGCTTTGAGAAAGTTTATATGATTCTCAAGTCTGAAGAAAACTTAGTTTATAAGTTAATACCAAAGTTTTTCTAAATGCCAACACGGCAGTATTAATCTGGTGTCTGCAAATCAAGCTGTGTTTTGTTTTGTTCAGCGTTGTCAGAAGCAAAGACAGCTGGAATTTGAATTTGTCCAGAAATGATAATGTATGAAGCAGCTTAAAAGGCTGCTTTCCCCCTTGCCACTGTGCTGGCCTCGTTAACAACTGTAGTCTTGCACAATTTCTCAGTTGGCTGGGTGTAAAGTGCTCTAGAGGAGGATGCAGTGGCCTTATCCATGCTGGATTTATTAGATAATTTGAAACTGCTTTCAGACATACTCAGCTCATGACATATCTGTGCTATTATTTCTGACCTATAGTGATAAGAAAACATGATACCACAAACTGTAGTGATGGGTGATGCAGAATTACCTGCATAAGCTTGCTGGGTAAAATGTTCCCCAAAGTCTTGGTGACATGGTGTCAACCACACAAGCTCCAGGAGAGTCTGTACCGACAGCAAAGCCCCCCTTCTATGGCTTTAGTTGCTGCTTGAGCCTCACCCTGTTTCTCTGTGGCATGGGTAGGAATTGTCATAGGAGACAACGGGATGTGTTGCTAAAATAAAGGTTCCAGCTTTGATCTGAGTCACTGGTATGTTAATTACTTACATGAGGATAGGGCAGGATTTGGATCACAAAGTGACAAGCACTGATTTACAAGAGGAAAGGGTGGTGCTAAGCCAGCCTACACAGCAAATGTAGGAAGCTGGAGCAAAGCCCTGGTCCTGCAGCACGGAGTGATGCTCTATGGTATTCTTAGGTATTCTTGGCTAGGCAAGGAGAAGAGGGTAAAATCTGGATAATCGTGTTTAAAGGGGAGTTTCTGTGTTTATCCTTAATTAAGTGGCACACAGGTACTTTATGGGAATAAATTAATATCAGCAAAATGGTTTGTGATCTTCAGATGCTGGATTACTGCAGAGATACAAAGCAGTAGCATTCATCAGACATTGGAAATACTTAAAAGAAAGGCTATTTTGTAGTAGAAGTTAAGCAGCTGTAGTTCTTGGTGTCAGTTTTATCCCATATGATACCAAAATTGCTTTTGCTTATGAGATACATATTTACATAAGAATCATAAGACTATTTACTCTTCAAAATGATGAAATTAATTTAATTTACAGCCACCCAGGTGAAAGCTATAAGTTTAGTCTCCACTGGATCTCTGGGCCTTCTAGAATATCAGCAAAAACAGAAAGGCGTTCAGAAGGCAGTTCATTCCTTCAGCATTGGACACCCATCTTGTCATCCAGAGCTGCTTACTTCTCTCCATCAGAGAGGGCCCAGACACCTAACTTTGAGATGGGTACAGACAGATAAAATGGATATCACCCATAGAATGGAGTGTTGATTTTGATGTACTAGAAGTGCAAAACTTTACTGTAAAACATTATAGCAGAGCACTTACATCCCAGCCACTAGGTGAAGGTTAGATGTTTTCCTTCATTCCTCAGTGTTGCTGACTTATGAAGGCAACTTCAAAAGGTTGGTAATTAACACCTTTTGAGGGAACAGTGAAGCCAGTTCAGAATGCCTTCTTGCAACAGTTTTACCCATCTGACATATCTTTGTGGGCATTTTTTTAGCTCTCTTTACCCACACAAAATAAGATACTTGTATTGGAAGTGTTGTATTCACCCAAATGAGTAATCAGTATCAGCTTTGTGGGGTGTTTACCATAAAGTGGTCACTGGTGGAGTCTCATGACACCTTTGTATCCCCATGACTTGTGCAATGTGTGACAATGACTGAAATTCTGCCCCTTTCCCCTGCTAAATCAGCTAGAAATTCTCCCTAGCAAATTCAATAATTCAATTTGCTGAATTCTGTAAGAGCCTCCTTTTGATGTTGAGAGTAGTTTTGCGTTAGATCCAGATTTTTAAGGATAACCCCAGCCATTAGGAAGGAGAAGCAAAAATAAACAGAGACAGGCATGAGTGTATTGTAATTGACTGTGATTTAAGAAATTCTGCACTTGCCAGAGGCACTCACTGGGAGGTATATAGAAACCTATCAGCGTTATCAGATTCAAGCCATTGACTTTGTTTAGAGTCCCATGAACACTGTTTCAGAAACATAAGGCAGAGTTTTTATCCTAAATTTCTTCTCTCTCTCTTTCTTTTTTTCCCCTTTTTTTTTGGTTTGTGTTTTGTTTTTGTTTGTTTGTTTGTTTATTTGTTTGGTTTGGGGTTTTTCGTTTGCATGTTCTTGTCTCCTCTCTTTGTTAGGCTTGGAAATCTCATGGGACGGCGACAGTTTTGTGGAAGTCATGGCTGCGCCGCATCTGAAGGGCAAACTCTGCGGTCTGTGTGGCAATTACAATGGGCACAAGCGAGATGACCTGATTGGGGGAGATGGGACTTTTAAGTTTGATGTGGATGACTTTGCTGAATCCTGGCGTGTGGAGTCCAATGAGTTCTGCAGCCGCCCGCAGAGAAAACCGGTGCCTGAGCTCTGTCATGGGACAGTCAGGGTGAAACTCCGAGCTCACCGGGAATGCCAGAAGCTCAAAGGGTGGGAGTTCCAGAGCTGTCATTCAACGGTGGATTATACCACATTTTATCGGTAAGTGTGGCTTGCTGTGAGATAGGGAGATAATGAATTACTGTGCAAGAAGAAAAAACAACTGGCCCAATTTCAGTAGTGTTTGAGCATGTGTTTAGAGCTGCTTTTGCTGATAATTAATACACAGGCTTAGAGGTACATCATGATGAGCTTTTCTGATTCAGGAATCAGAAGAAGATGATCCTGAGCTAATAAAGACCCAAGCAACCAACAGTGAGAAAGGCAGGCAGGCTTGTGATCACCTAGAGAAAAAGTAATTTTGGAGACAGAGGAAAGAGGGGGCAGAGACTTCAAAACATTTTGGTAAGCTCTTTCTGATTTCAAAGTCAGCTGTAAAGTTGAGGCTGATTTTAATTGCTATTTCTTGTGGTCCATAGAAGTGTGTCTTCCCAGAAACATTTTGAAAATTACTTTATTAAAGCAGAGAAAGTAGATAATACTAGTGCCTCTTGGATGGTATAATTTGTGGGTGGAGAGTTTGAAAGGAGAAAGTTAACAAAAGTTCAGTGCATGCCCATCCTGCCCTGGCAGCAAAGAAAGACAGACCAGGATCTAGAAGCCTTGTCCAAGCAAATTATTTAGGATTTTTATCTTTAAAATGCTTCCAGTCTAAACCACAGAGACACTATTTCTGGTTTTTAATTGGCCTGAGTTTATTTGCCACTCACTAAATAAAATGGGCTTTTCTTTTGATTGCCTGACATAAAAGATAAAAGCGAGCTGAATCACGGTTCTGTGATGGCGGGTGGAGCTGCTTGATCTCTGCACTCCCTGCTTTCTCCACTTGCACACATCTGTGAACCATTGGGCTTATTAGGAAAAGCTTTCTAAAATGACTCCATTTCCCTTATAAATTGCTTTTCCTCTTCTCTTACAATGAGACCGAAAAACTTTTATCTACCCCAGCAGAATACATCTAGGACTAGGAAATGCTAGAAGACACACAGATTGGCTTGTAGTCTGTGTGCTTCTGCATCTAGTTTGCTGTAGTGTATCCCTATGCTAAGAGCCTGGCAAAGAGTGGAGATTATATTGTGTGCAAGTTACAATGCTTTATCTTTTCCAATGGCTGGAGGCACAACAGAGAGCACTAGAGATGCTAACACACACACACACACACACACACACACACAGGGTCTGCTGAATGCATTTCAACAACATTCCCATCTCACTTCCATCATTCTCTAAAGGTAAGTGATGACAATGCAAATGGAAAACAGGCACAGAGAGATTTGTTTAATTTTGCACTGGATTTTTTGTCCCCTTTTTAAAGTAGCTCATGATTAATTTAGTGCAATACACTTCCTGACACTGCAGCAGAAAATGATTTAGATTTTGGCTACAGCATCTAGAAAAAACCCCACAAACCTCTACATACTTGCACACAAGAATTACCATAGAACACTTCTGCTCCTTTAAAATCATGTCTTCTATTTGTCCTGGAAAGACAATGAAGCCAAGTGAGTATTTAATATGATTATGTCGTTTTGTCTAAAAATCTGTTTTTTCCCTGAGGAAACTTTATGTTGAAATGACCATCATACTCTGTCAGAAGTAGCTGTTCATTTGCTTCCATTTAGATGTTGCCAGATGTTAGATTGCTCAGCTCCCAATACAGGAATCAAAGATAAAATATCAATTTTTTAAAAACTGATATTTAGTAGAATGCTACATCTCATTAGAAACTGACAAAGTTGTAGCAAGCAGTTTGTTCAGTGACCATGGCCAGTTTTCATGCTTGGAAGATCCCACAAGAAGGTAATGATTATGGGACACACATTCAAGAAATTATGCAAATCTTTCTCACAAATCTTTGCATGTATAAATATGTGCGTGTGTGTGTGTATAAGGATAAATATGAGGACTTAAAAGATTTGCATTTTTCATATTTTTTTTCAAATAATCCTTTGCTCGTGATGTACATTTGTAGAAAAATTAAATCACTATTGAATGAAGTTTGAATTAACATTTACAGCTTTTTACTGTGGTATTTTAGAAAACCATATTTAGTCAATGTTTTCCAAGGTCAGGCTAAATTTAATTTTTTTCCAATTCTGCTTTTCTGACTATGATCAAACTCCTAACAGTAAGAGAAGAGACTGAATGGTAGGGCCAGGTTATTTCATTTTTCTATTCATCTCTTCTTTGAATTGAAAAGCTTCTCAGCTTGTATGCTCCAACATTACATATTACAGAATTTTTCCATTGGAAATCCTGGATTCTCAAGAGTTAATATTTCTCAGTCATTCTTGCCCATGTTATGAACATTGCCTCATTTTCATTATGCTGCTCTGGTAGTGACCTGCTGTTAATGAGAATTCTCAGAAATGGAAATAAACTCAGCAGGAACATTATGAATTAGGGTGTGTTTTCTCCAAATACCAAAAAAGGCAGCGAACAATGCATTACAAATATTTGTCTGATTTTGTGTTACTGAGGAGATTTCTGTGAAGACGTCTCAAATTAATTTGTAGTCTCATTCTCTTTACAGTTGTAATTTCTCCTTTTGTTAGTCATCCAAAAAAACTTACAAAGCAAGGTTGTCATTATGGTTAGGTGAAAAGGATATGGTTAAAGTTTTAAAGAGTAGAGATCTAGCTGCTTAGCTGTGTGGTGAAGAGCAACTCCTGATCTTGGCCTTGATAGACCTGTGGCACCTTATGAGAAATGGTTGTGCACCTTGACTTTAACCCTTGTTTTGGTGTTGTGACTTTGGTGACCTGTGGTGCTCTGCAAAGCTCATGGTCAAGGAAAGCGTAGTAGAAGAGCACAAGAAAGGATTTCGAAATAGTCCAGACTGCAAACTAACAACTTCATAATCTAATTTTATACCACTCTTAATTCTTTGTTTTGTGACTAGACACGTTTTATGGGCTTTTAATTGTGGTTTGTTTTGTTTAGTTTTGGGTTGGTATTTTTTGTTTGTCTTTAATGCACTGCTAGTTGTTCAGTACTCATGAGTAATACTCCCAAAATAACCCTTAGGATTGAACTTTATGGAGGCAAGTTCATTAAGAAGGGAAATTATTTTGAATTTCCAGGAGATTTTGGGAAAATCTGAGTGGGTAAGAAAGGGATATATAGTGACAGTCATCACCATTGCCACTTGTCTATTTTGATATTTTAATATAACTAAGCATCCTGGTTTAGTCCTTGCCAATAAAAGAAAAAGCTACCAAGGTTACTCAGTAGCAGGATTTTAGAGGGGATACTTTGACCGTGTATGCAATAAAGCTTTCACTCAGACTCCTGAAGCTGCTCTTGAGTACAAGCAACAGTAAAATAGATTATACGATCTGAATTTCACATGCTGCTGTTACCAGAAAAAGCTCTATCATAGAATCATAGAATGGTTTGAGTTGGAAGGGACCTTAAAGATCATCTAGTTCCAAACCCCTGCCATGGGCAGGGACACTTCTCACTAGACCAGGTTGCTCAAAGCCCCAGCCAACCTGGCCTTGAACACTTCCAGGGATGAGCCATCCACAGTCTCCCTGGGCAACCTGTTCCAGTGTCTCACTACCCCAGACTAAAGAATATTTTCTTAATGTCTAACCTAAATCTACCCTCTTCCAGTTTAAAGCCATTACCCCTTGTCCTACTGCTCACGTTATCAAGAAATATTACAGTACTATTTAAGCTCTTAGGGTGCTTAGGGGACTTGAAGGGGGAAAAGAGGACTTTCTGTGCTCACCAAGCCCCATGGATGATCTCATTGTCTATCTTTGAGCTGTGCTGGAGCAGGGGCCAGGCAGCAATGTGGCCAGGGGCATCGGGGTGCAGTGGGAAGGTCCCCCATGTGTCCCCATGCCTGCTTTGCTCAGCCATGTCTGACACCTCTCAGTATCCTCCTTAGGAAGCAGAGGAGAAGGCAACCCCAAACAGGGGTTTCTAGTAAGTTTTTTTGTAATAGCTTGGTATCACCAAGGTGATCTGGAAGGTGACACCAACATGATATTAGTATACCACCCATCTCAGGTGCACAGCAGCTGAGTTCATAAATGACTAGTTAGACGTTGCTCAAGACTCTCACAACTGCCATAACTTTGGAAAAAAATTCAGTGCCTTGCTTTTGCCATACAGTAAAATTCCCTATCTGAAATTGGAAAAGTTGTGCTCCTAACTCTTAAGTCTTTTTATTGTTATTATTGTTCCTATTATTATTATTATTATTGCATTTTTAACAGACAGCAGCATACCTAATAGTTACTCTTTTTCTCTTTTGTAATTGTCCTAAGAGGTATATTTTTCTCAAACACTTTAATAAGATTCAGTATTTTCTGGCAAGGAGTAATTAAGATAGTAATAGCCTCATTTGTTTGAATCTGTAAATCAAATACATTCAGGAATTGCAAATCTGCTTTATTGCAATTCTTATCTCAAATGTTCCATTTGATTGTGCTGCTATCACTGCATCTTAGCTCTCAGTTAATCAGCTAATGAGTTCCTATTCCAGTTACCCAATTAACTTTATGCAGCTAACTGCTGCAGTCTTGCAGATTTTCTAAAAAAAATCTGCTTAACTAGAGGAAATATTATTGTTTAGAGTTAGAGTATAATTACAATGTTGTGTAGTCCATCAGCTCCCTGGTTTACTACATTTGATAGATATGCCATGAATGGTTGCAGCGAGCATATGAGCTGTAGCACTGCTAAGTTAATTACAAGCTCTATTGAAAAGATAGGGACCAAGGGTTTGTGGCTTTGAAGCAGAAAGTTTGAAGGTTTGTTTCCCCTGTTAACAATGATGTCCTACAGCTGTAAAATTCATGTGGTTTTGCCCCTGTGTTCACTCAGCAGGATAGAGCAATAGAAATTTAGGCTGAAGAATGACTTCAGAAAAGCCCTTTTCAAGTGTTAAAGGAGTGGGTGGAACCGGGATCTCTGGAGCCCTCTGTTCACTGCCAAGGGTGCATATTGCAACATTCTCCCTGCGAGGTTTGCTGGTCCTGGCTGGGCATGCGGGCACAGCAGCCGCCTTGAGCTGCTCCAGCTGAGGC